AGAGATATAACTTCCCTCCTTTCCTGTCCCTCTGAATCTCCATTCCTAAGATCTTCTTGGCAAGACCCAGATCTTTCATCTCGAACTCCTCACTGAGCCGTTTCTTCAAGATCAACACATCTGACATGTTCTTTGCAACAATGAGCATGTCATCCACGTATAAGAGAAGATAGACAAAGGTTCCATATGAACCCTTCCTGAAGTAGACACAACTATCATAGTTGCTCCCACGATAACCGTTCCCTATCATAAAGCTGTCGAATCTCTTATACCACTGTCTTGGTGACTGCTTCAGACCATACAAGGATTTCTTCAATCTACAAACATGATCTTCCTTGCCTTCTACATAATAGCCCTCAGGCTGAGCCATATAAATAGTTTCCTCAAGCTCGCCATGCAAAAAAGCAGTCTTTACATCAAGTTGCTCAAGCTCTAAGTCAAATTGAGCAACTATAGCCAGCAACACACGAATGGAAGTGTGTTTTACTACAGGGGAGAAAACTTCATCATAATCAATTCCCTCCTTATGAATGTAGCCTTTAGCTGCGAGCCGAGCCTTGCATCTAGCATTTTCAACACCTGGAATTCCTTCTTTTTTCTTGAAGACCTATTTACACCCAATGGCTCTTTTTGCCTTAGGCAACTGCACCAAGGCCCAAGTCTGGTTCTTGTGAAGTGATTCAAGTTCCTCAACCATAGCAACAGCCCATTTCTCTGATTCTGTGCAAGTAACAGCTTCCGTATAGGTAAAAGGTTCCTGAATACCCATATCTTCTGCTGTCGTAAGAGCATAAGCCACCAGATCAGAGAACCCATATTTCTGAGGAGTTCGGGTCTGCCTCCTTTCTTTGCCAGTAGCAATAGAGTATGGCTGCTCCACCTCATCTACAGCTTCCTCATCTGAACTTGAATCAACAGGAGCAATTTGCTCGTTCAAATCATTCTGAGAGGTCTTTTCTGGAAGCTCCACCTGAACCTCCACCTCATTCATATCTCTCATGTTTTCCTGCAGACTCATCAACAACTTTCCTTTGATCAAGCATATGAATTTCATTAAATTCGCCACCACAGAACTCAAGACCATTATCAGTCCTAAGACGTTTGATCTTCTTCCCTGTCTGATTCTCAACAAGGGCTTTCCACTTCTTAAAGGTTGCAAATACATCACTTTTTCTTTTCAGAAAGTAAACCCAAACCTTCCTGGAATAATAGTCAATGAACGTCACAAAGTAAAGAGCACCACCCTTAGATGGAACCTGTGCTGGTCCCCATAAATCGGAATGGATATAGTCGAGTGTGCTCTTTGTCGAATGCGTCCCCGTACTGAATCTGACTCTGCATTGCTTGCCAAGAACACAATGCTCACAAAAATCTAGCGAGGTCGTCTACTCCCCACAAAGTAAACCATGTTTACTCAAAACTGTCATGCCACGCTCATTCATGTGGCCCAAACGCATATGCCACAATTTCGTTCTATCATTATCAGAAACGGAATTGCTTGTGCCAATTGAAGGACCCATAACTGTGTTACCCTGCAAATGATACAAGTGATTCACCTTGCTTCCTTTCATCACAACCAGATTGCCTTTTGAAACTTTGAGAACTCCACCTCCACCGGAGTACACACCCCCAATGGAATCCAAACTGCTCAACGAGATAATGTTTCTCTTTAAGTCAGGTATATGTCTTACTTCAGTCAAAGTTCTCACTGCTTTGTCGTGGCACTTAATCCGAACAGTACCAATACCCACAACTTTACATACAGCATCATTCCCCATCAAGACTGATCCACCATTCAATGGCTCGTATGTGGTGAACCATTCCCTATTTGGGCACATGTGATATGATGCTCCCGAATCCTTTATCCAAACATCATTGGAGAAATTAACAGCAGAGCATGCCGTAAGAACACTGTTTGACGCATTAGACACATTTTCGTTTGCAACATTTGCCGAATCTGGTCTTTGACCATGCTGCTTATCCTTTTTCTTGAGCGAAGGACAATCTAACTTGTAATGTCCTTTTTTGTGACAATAGTAGCACTCAACGTTCATCTTATCTCCAGGTGGCTTAGATTTTGAACGACCAACAGATTTCCCTCGGAAAGCTTTATCCCTGCTCTTGGTCCTGCCTCTCACAAACAAACCATCTGCTTTGTTTTCACTAGTATTCCCATTCAATTTTGTTCTCAGTTCTGCAGAATACAAAGATGCTTTAACATCCTCCAAAGTTATGGATTTATGTCCATAAAGCATCGAGTTCACAAAATTCTCGTATGAGGCAGGCAGTGAACATAACACGATCAAAGCTTGATCTTCATCCTCGAGTTTAATATCTAGATTTTTCATATCCAGAACAATTTTATTAACTCATCCAAGTGTTCCTGAACAGACGTACCTTCACGCATCTTTAGGATATAAAGACGCTGCTTCAAATAAAGTCTCGATGTTAGAGATTTCTTCATGTAGAGACTTTCCAGTTTTTTCCAGAGACCGGCCACTGTTTCCTCATCGGCGACTTCTCGCAAAACCTTGTCATCTAGAGACAGCTGGATCACGCTATGCGCCTTCTCGTCCATCTCTTCAATCTCAGCCAAGGTCATATCGTCTGGATATTTTCCGTCCAGCGCCCTAACCGTACCCTATCACCTCAATAAAGCCTTCATCTTTATTCTCCATAATCCGAAGTTGTTCTGTCCGTCAAAAGATGAGATCTGAAACTTCAAAGATGCCATCTCAAAGAACCCTAGAATCGAACTAGGCTCTGATACCAGTTGTTGTTTCAAAGGAGGCAGACCCGGCCTCCTTAGAAACAACAATACCTGCAAAAGATTCATGCAAATCATCACTGTTTGGAGATGCTGCTGCCGAGTGCCAACAGAGAAGTTTTAAGTAATTGGGTTGTTCAGGATGGTGCTCAAGTACATTTTACATTCCATGTTATAAATTATGATGCAATAAATTCAATTCTGTGTACTTCAATCAACTCAACCAGGGCAATCAAGTTGGTTTAATCAACAGAAAGCGAGAATGCTTCTTTCTAAATCCACTAAATGCTCCTAACAATATGACGAACAAAGTTTTGTTGGTTAACAATTCTCATCTATTCTGATCAGAAAATAATAACCCATCAGTGATTTAACCACTGCAAAATCTTCAAGAGAAGAGAACCAAGAGGAATAACAGGACGAACCATGACCAAGATAGAGAAGCATAGTGGTGCAGAGGAATAGAAAGAGAATATGGGCGACAATAGTCTGCAAACGATGACAGAGAGGACACCATGGTCTCCCGGGAGAAAGCAAGGCTAACTCTTTATGAATTATGGTTCCATGGTCTGCAAAGCTTCTGTTGAACCTAATCAGGGCAATGTGGGATAACAATATGTGAACATCCTTTACGTTGCAAGGATGCATTGTCAGCGTTTGGAGAAGTCCATCTGACTATGAGCTCCTCTTTCATGATTTTGTTTCCTTTCAGAAGTGCCTTTCAAAAGCTCTTCTGGAAATTTCTGCATTTACATCACAACCAATGGAATAATAATCAAATTCTGTCAGTGAATAAAATCAAATGAATCTATTTACTAACATCAGCGAACTACTTACTAATAAAAACCCAAAGTTTACGGATGTTTGTTTGTCAAACTCAATATTGCTTTTCCTTAAGAACTCATTTAATCCAACTAATAGGCATCTAATACGAGCAACCACAGAAGCTTTGATCAAGTTAGTACAGTGAATTCAACTTAAGTTGCCTCCTTTTCTGTGATATAGTATGACTTTCCTTATCATTATGTGCAATTCATATATCAGAATGAATGAAAAAAAGTTTTCAAATGGCATACAAGATAAATGAAGGCTTCCTTCGGAAACTTATGGAAATGCTTCTGATACTTTTCTTTTCAGAAAGTAAATGCGCTAATAAGAGCTTATTCATAATATAAGGGATTATATCGCAGTGCAGTTGATTAAGTCAGGTGACATTCTTGTTCAGATCTGCCATCTTGATTATTTGCTTGACTCAAGTTCAGGTAAACGACGGCATTACTAAGTGCACAAACATTAAGAACTATTTTTTGGGTTAGACTATTATTTACCTTGGACTTTAGGTAAACAGGATTCATAGTTAGGAAAATTCGAGTTACAATTTTCTCGATTGATTCAAATAAATCACAATGGTTTTACTTTTGGCCTGTTTGCTAGTTTACTCACCACACTACCAGGAGAAGTCTGTTCTTGCATTTAGCATTTCCTGTCCGATACGATTAGCTTAATCAGCTAATGCAGACAATTCTATGAGACAAAATGTGTGGAACAAAATGGTTGAACAAGTTTTGTCCCAAGTCAGTAGCGTATGCATGCTGAGGAATGCCCTCTCAACATGTTGCCTTTGTATCTTTATATTCATTCTTAAGCGTACCTTAGAAACATGCGGTCATGAACAACATGGTGAGCACAAGGCAAACTAGAACCTCATATTAGAAGGACCTCCATATAGGGTCTTTCATTTAGCATTTGTCGACCCATACGATTACCTCTGGCATGTTATCAAATGCCCGTATAAATCAGTTCTATTCAGTCATTTCAGCATTTCAGAATCAATCAAATGCGGATAATCTTTATTTTACTGCATAGGATGTAAAATCTTACCTGGAGACTAATGACAAATGATGAACTTAGAAGACCTCTTGATCTATTTATGTTATTGGCATGATGAGGGGAAACGTTTTGCCAAAGCACACATTAACTTCCATGAACATCTCCCCCGATTCCTTGAATTCATGAAGAAAATAATAACACTGCCAATCAGGACATACAAATTGCAAGTAACAAATCTTAAAAGAAATTGCAAACAGGAAATACAATTGAAAATTGGCATAGATCTCAAAAGAGAAAAGATAGCTTAGCTGCTTTATGTACCTTTGTTAGGAGAGGTGGATCATCTCAACTATTCCGATTCATCTCGGTCGTCTTCCCCAAATTCTATCATTCCATGGTCGAGTCAAATCCTTTTTTCTCATAATTGCAATAAAGCCGTGTTCCAGATAATTCTTGTATCGTTTTGAGTGACTTGCATCCAGAATTGCCCAATTCCACTAGTTGCTCCAATTTCTTGAGCCCTCGGAGCTCAGTCAGTTTATGCAATTTTGGACATTGAGACTGGTCAAGTTGGTATACAATGACAAATCGGGTAAGATCTCAATCGAGGGACATCTTGAGATAGCATTGCGTTCTAGAGATGTTGACTCCTCAAGCCCTGCGATCTCCCAAAGTTTATGACGATTCGACACAAACAATTTCCGTAAATTATGAAAATTTGACTAAGTTGGGTAATTTTACTGAGGACTTGCAATCCTCAATCCATAAACTTGTGCAGGATGGGAATCTCTCTAGGATCTGAATAACATGAAGCTTGTCATAGCAGTTAATTGTTAATTTCGTCAAGGTGTCAAGCAACATAAATCTCGTAACCTTCCAAAGGAAGTGCACCCAGAGATATTCATCATTTCCAAGAACTCCATCCATCGAGGTCTTGAATTTTGGATGAACCTTTACAATGTTGAGCAGCTAATATCTTCGTGCCCATGAATTTTGAAAGGTCCAGCCATTCAATAGAACTGCAGAGATATCTAGACCTTTCAAGAACTCCAATCTATGGAGACCTTAAACTTCAAATAAGTTTTCGCAATTTTTAGCACCTAATATCTTCAGACCCTCGAATTTTGGAGGGACCAAACTTTCAAGTGAAAATGCCCGGAGATATTCAGCACATCCAAGGACTCCAACCTATCGAGGCCTTGAATTTCAAGTAAATTGTAATATCAAGCATCTAATATGTTCAAACCCCTTGGTTTTTGGAAGTTTCAGCCTTTCAATTGAATCGCAGCCAAACATATTCAACTATTCCAAGAACTCCAACCTATTGAGCCCTAGAATCTCAATTACGTTTCGCAATTTTCAACATATAATTTCATTCAAACCCTACCTTTCAATTGAAGCACACCCAAAGATATCCAGATCTTCCAAGAACTTCAACCTATCGAAGCCTTGAATTCCAACTAAATTTTCGCAATGTCGAGCAATTAATATTCTCAGACCCTTGGATTTTGAAAGGTCTAACCTTTTAATTGAAGTACATCCAGAGATATACAACTCTTCCAAGAACTCTAACTTATCGAGCCCTTGAATTTCGATAATGTTCTCGCAATTCTCAGCATCTAATATCTTCAGACCCTTGGATTTTGGAAGGTCCAGCGTTTTAATTGAAGCGCACCCAGATATATATAGCTCTTCCAAGAACTCCAACCTATTGAGGCCTTGAATTTCAACTAAGCTCTCGCAATTTTCAGCATATAATTTCTTTAGAACCTCGGAATTTGGGAGGTCTAGCTTTTCAATTGAAACGCACCCAGAGATATTCAGTTTTTCCAAGAACTCCAACCTATCGAGCCCTTGAAGTTCGACTAAGCTCTTGCAATTTTCAACATCTAATATCTTCATAACCACAGAATTTGGAAGGTCCAGCCTTTCAATTGAAGCACAACCAAAGATATTCAACTCTCCCAAGAACTTCAACCCATCGAGGCCATGAATTTCAACTAAGTTTTCGCAATATCGAGCAGTTAATATCTTTAGACATTTGGAATTTGAAAGGTCTAGGTTTTCAATTGAAGCACCCTCGGAAATATATAACTCTTCCAAGAACTCCAACTTATCGAGCCCTTGAATTTCAACTAAGTTCTCGCAATTTTCAGCATCTAATATCTTCAAACCCTCGGAATTTGGCAGATCCAACCTTTCAATTGAAGTGCACCCAAAGATGTTCAACTTTTCTAAGAATTCCAACCTATCGAGACCTTGAATTTCAACTAAGTTTTTGCAATTTTGAGCATGTAATTTCTTTAGAACCAAGGAATTTGGGAGGTCCAGCCTTTCGATTGAAGCACACCCGGAGATATTCAGCACTTCCAAGAATTCCAACCTATCGAGGCCTTGTATATCGACCAAGCTTTCACAATTTCCAGCATCTAATTTCTTCATACCCTCATAAATTGGAAGGTCTAACCTTTCAATTGAATCGCACCCAGAGATATTCAGTTCTTCCAAGAAATTCAACCTATTAAGGCCTTGAACTTCAACTAGGTTTTCGCAATATTGAGCGGCTAAAATCTTCAGACCCTTAGAGTTTTTAAGGTTTAGCCTTCCAATTGAAGCGCATCCAGAGATGTGTAGCTCTTCCAAGTACTCCAACCTATTGAGGCCTTGAATTTCGACTAAGTTTTCACAATTTTCAATATCTAATTTCTTCAAACCCTCAGATTTAGGAAGTTCCAGTCTTTCAATTGAAGCGCACAAAGAGATATCCAACTTTTGCAAGAACTTCAACCTATCGAGACCTTGAATTCTAACTAAGTTTTCACAATATCGAGTATCTAATATCTTCAGACCCTTGAATTTTGGAAGGTCCAGCCATTCAAGTGAAGTGCACCCAGAGATATTCAGCAGTTCCAAGAACTCCAACTTATCAATGCCTTGAATTTCGACCAAGTTTTTGCAATTTCCAGTATCTAATTTCTTCATACCCTTGGATTTTGGAAGGTCTAGCCTTTCAATTGAAACACACCCAGAGATATTCAACTCTTCTAAGAACTCCAACCTATTGAGTCCTTGAATTTCGGCTAAGTTTTCGCAATTTTCAGCATCTAAAACCTTCATATACTTCATATCTCCAATTGAAGAGTCAATTTGCTCCACTTCCTCGCAACCTCGGAGTATTAGAACCTCCAAATTGTTAAAGGCTGAGAGGAATATAGTACTTCTCAAGGATTGACAACTCGTAAGGTCGAGAACTTTTAGCTTCTCTGCCATCTAATAAAACAATAATAACAATAATAATTGTCGAGGGGTTAGTCTAGAGTGATTATGATTCAAAAGAAAGCAGAAAAAAAGAAGAAGAAGACTTATTCATCATCTTACCCTAATGGAATTCCATCCTTGCCAGTCATCTGAAATGTTGCTTCTTGACAAATCAAGTATAACTAATTCCTTTACATGAAAATTGTTTGCTTCAAAAGTCGAGGGACAATTCCACCATTGTAGCCATCTTAACTCCTCCATTGAGTTCTTAAAATCTCCACTCAAATGTGCCCCACTCACGTGAAGAAACCTTAGGCTCCTTAAATTCTTGAATTGTTCGTCTGGGTGGATATTGCCGCCTTGATCAACTATTTCGCATGAGCCTTCTGAGCTATCTTCGCTAAGATAAATGGCCTCAATCTTATCTGTTCCCTATAAGTAAGAACAAAGATTTATTAATACTATTTATATCCGACTAAAGTAATCTAATATCATTGGTTCATATTGCTATCAACATGCATTGATGTCCTTAAGAGATTAGCAAAGTGAAGACATGATTTTCTTGTTTGGCCAATAAACACTATCAACAAAGCTAACAAAGTGAAGGATGTAAATTTGACTTTGAAATTTGGCCATAAGTACTTAGATCTTAATAAGAATTATGATTTTCTCTTTCTTTTAGTTTTTTTGTACTTTCTATAATAGTTTATAGATCTTATACATATTATAAACGTACTTTTACCCTTTGATGTAATGGCTCATGTAGGGTAAAACTTTTTAACTGGTAAATCCTCTTCTTTACTGTAATGTAGTTTCATTACTATACTAGTTAGGAAGCACATGCAATGCCCTGAGCCTCTATGTATGTTGTTTGGGTGCTTTTTTTTGGTCATCTGTTCATGTCTATGTTGGTACTTATTAAGGTTAGAATCGATATTTGATGATTTCCTCGTCTTGAATGATCCGTATGTTTAATCCTTGTTGCGTGTCTAGTTGTTCTACACCCAGTTCCTCCCATTCAAACCGGTTTTCGGGCTGAATTTGGGCATGCTCGGCATCCTTTTAATTGTCATTTCGTCATTGAAGTTTGCATCTTAACATAGATATGTGTTATAGTCTAGATTGGTTCCCAACAGAGTTTCTCGTTGTTTCGAGTATCTTGCATAATGTTTAGGTTTTGCACTTGGACTAGCCGCCACCATCCATGCGATGGATGGTGCTCGCAAGGTCTTGTTTTGGTCCATTCGATGAGCCTTGAGCCAACCCTCATGGGTCTTCATGGCTCAGAGATGCGTCGGGACGGTTTTGAGTGGTTTCAAACCAATTTTTGAATCCGGAAAAGTGCTAATGCCTGCTGTCCCAGTTGTGTGCTTGCTGGACAGCAGGCTAATGGGACTGTGGGTGTTCAGCTTGTCTTAGGTTTGTTGACTCTCCCTCAAGTGTCTCGGGTTGGCCCTCATGAGCCCAAACGGTCCGTAGATGCCTCGGGGTGTTTTAGTGTTATTTGGTGTCGTTTATTGCACGAAATGTGATCCCAGGCTTGCTGTACAGACTGTGTGATGGGCCGGGCAGCGAGCTCTCGGTCTCATTTCTGTCCCTTAGCTAAGGCCTCCGGTCCTGCATCGCCTCAAATTAGTTTGTACGGTTTTCTTTATATTTCCACATGTTTGGCATCATATTCTAGTTCGGTTCCTAGCATTGTGTTGATTTATTATTTCTCGACATTGCATCTTGTCTAAGTTTAAGTCCAGTAAGAGCGATGCTAGCATCACAGCCACTGTCGTTACACCAAGAGAAGGCAACCGATTGAGTAAGTTAAGGCCCTCACTAGCCAAGATAGGAAAAGAAAATTTAAATAGAGAAACAAGTGATATGTCCGTTAGAAAACAAGAAAAGGGGTAAATTAAATGGCGAAACATTTAATCCGTCCTTTTTTGATTAATTGAAAAGTAAATGATGAAAAAGTACGTACATACTTTATTGAAGAAACGAGAAAATATCGTTTAGAATCAACTAAATCTAATAAATCCATTTAAGAAATAAATGAACCGATATTAGTAGTGACAGAACTTGACCAGTTTACCATCTATGGCTATAACAAATTACGAATAAACAAGTTACTTCTTAAAAAATATGTTAATGGTAAAATCATCTAGAAAAATATGTAAAAATTGATTTAAACAGACAAATAATAAAGTAGCGGGTTCTTGTACACGAGATTTCTTGGTATACAGCTTGACAAGTTCTTTGTCCCTTCTTAACCTCTACTTCTTGAAGAAGAAAAAAATAACAAAACCTAATCTGTAGTTAGTTCTAATTTGTTCAAACTAACCAAACTAAGGTTCATGGTTCTAACTTTTCTCAAACTAACCAAACTGACGTTCTCTTTTATTTGATCTTCTTATCCAATTTTAGACTTAAACAGGTGGACACGTGTTTAACTTTTGGCCTCTATCATGCATATAAAACTATGGTCAAATTTGTCGGAATTTAATTTATTAAGTTCAATGTGACGTCAAACTAATCAATCAAAAGATTTTATGCATAATAACTAAAAAAGGAAATCATTAGAGTCGTGATCCACTCTTGTAAATCAAGGAGTTACCACAATATCCCGCGGCATCTTCTTGTAATCGGAAGTTAGAGGGACTCCTTCCTTTTGCCTAAAATAGTCCGTCTAAGACTCTAAGGCCAAACTTTCTAAATATATCAGAAAACAAGTTGCCAGAGTTTCTCCATTTTGCATTTTGAAATTTATGGTGGAGTAGACCGTCATATAATCGCACTGTCACTCTCTCCTTTCCCTATGAGTAACTAAACTGGTGATAGTAGTTATATTAACATTCTATTAGAGTAACTAAGATAGTAATGTTGATTAATTTATGCTCTCTATAACTTATTATTCTATCATGTAATTATAGATTATTATTATTGGATATATTATGAATTAATCATAATGATGAAAAGTTGAATTATTTAAGTATAATAAATATAATAAACACAATCCTTATTTCATAAGTGTGATAATTCAAATATAATTAATTATTAAAAATAACAAGTCATTTCTGAAGTATGAAAATTGAAGATATTCTTGGCTACACGGAATAGCAATTGATTCCTTGGCCCCTTAGGAATAGTTACTCCTGATTTTGAGAGATAGCTATTTCCAATCTACTTTTTGAATTAAACGAACGAAAAACTGCTTCATCAGAAGGGATTAGAAACAATAATAGCTATTCCCGAACCAATTTATAACATGCTTTCACCAAGAAAAATCACTTATGCATAAGAAGTTAAGAAGAAATACAAAAAATTCATGGATCTCCAAATCCATGTAAGTTTCTCCCAACCAGATTTCTTATTGTACTTCACATTGTTGTACTCAGCTTAGTCATTTCCCTTATAAACTTCCCCCTCAAATAGCTAGAAATCCTATCTGTCAAGTTTCTTTGTTTTCAAGTGTGTAACTCTTTCACCTTCAATAATCGATCAATGGAGTTTGAGTATACTTACAGCCAACTCCCAAAACAAGCCTAACCTTTCGTACTTCGGACAAAATTGAAACAATCTTATAAAAGTCCCAAACCTTTTGTATCTAGGACAAAATAGCACAACCTTTCGCATGTACCAAGCCCAATCTTTTACCCGTGGAACAAAGATGACACCCATTATAAACTCCGTCCATTATTATCAGTACATCCCTAGCTACGCATAACCTACATGGCTCGTTATGTTAACATACAGAACGAGCCATGTCAATCAACACCAAAAATGACGTTATTTTTTGTGTGTAATTTTTGTTAATAAATCTAGTTTATAATCTTTGTTATCAAATTTCTACCATTTTGTTAAAAAAACGTAGTTTGTGGTCAAGATTAAAGTGGTACCATGCATGTTCGCATAATGAGCTTTGTAGGTTCACATGTGGCGATTTTAGGTCAGAATAGGTAAATTTGTAACGGGTGTCAATTTTTGTCCAAGAGTGAAAGATTGAGTTTGAAAGGTTGTGTTATTTTTTACCACATGCAAACAGGCTGGGCTTCTTTTCAGGATCTTTTAATGTATAAAGACATCACAAGTGTCATAATTTTCGTAGAGTGCTAATTTGAGGGTCATAATTTTTTTTCAATTATTCATGACTTCTAAAAAAAATTCACTTGAGTATAATAACTTCTGAAAAACATTCACTTGAGTGTTATAATTTTCAACCGATCACTTGAGTGCTATAACATTTTATAAATTATTTACCACAAATGTCATGACATGTCGGATTTCCGGCACTTGTGGTACGTTTTTTAAAAGGTTGTGCCACTCAAGAAAACATTTTTAAATATCATAGTACTCAAGTGATAAAAAAAAGTTATGGCACTCAAATGAATGCTGTATGAAAGTTATGATACTAATGGTTTGATTTTCTTGATTTGTTAAACTTGTGTTATTTTCTACCCAGGTGCAAAAGATTGTACTTTTTCTTTGTTGGGTGTATGGTCGATAATATCCAAGAAGTAAGTTTATGCATGTGTTTCAGCCATGTTTTAAATGTCTTTCATTTTAGGTTTATTTTGTAAGCCACGCTAGTGCTCTTGTCTATGCTTCGCACATGGCATGGTTTATCAAAGTTGATTGTGTTTTGAGACAATAAATATGGAATATTTTGATTAAATGTAGGAATAAACTTAAAAGATCTTGTATCAGTTTTATCAAAACCACTTGATCTTCGACCTATGATAGTACCGTGAATGAAGAGCGAAAATGAAACCCACAAAAATACGGAAATAATTACATAAAAAATGTATCTTTTTAGTTGTAAAAGTTAGTTATACCAATTTATTTAGATATAAAGTATACCGCATATTCATTTTTATTTGGTTCTTTTAGTTTATTTTATGATGTACAAATTGGCTTTGAATGATACGACACGAGGGCAATATTTTCAGAAGGTTCTAATGTTTTCTAGAGCAAGCAACCAGTAAAGGACCAACATTAGACAGTACAATATGGACTAACGGAGCAAAAGAAGAGAAACGCCTACCTTATTTTCCTTTAGCACTGTCAAGATTTCCTCGGAGTCCCATAACCTGCTACGAAACTGAGGCTCCTTCCGGTTTTCCTTATGAACAATTTCCCTACCAAGATCTCTTAATTGGTTATGCATTATGAGCTCATGCTTATCTCCAACTTCTATTAATGACATACATCTCAATACTTCAATTCCCTTCTCTGGAAAAAATCCACAGGCGTTCCACATGTAGGATGCGATCCTTACATCAGTGCCAATGAAAAAACAAGCAATATCCAAAAATATTTGTTTTTGTTCAGGCTCCAATGCTTCATAACTTATCATTAACTTTTCTCGCACTTCATGAGGGACTTCTCTTAACTTGTTAATCATATCTCTCCATATTTCTGGCTCTTTTCCGCACGAAAATGAACCTATAACCTCGAGATGTAAGGGAAGCCCTGTGGTGGAGGATACAACATCACGAGAGAGGTCCTCAAATTCACTTGGAGGAGAGTTCCTTCCAAATGCATATCTACTAAATAGAATCAAAGATTGATTCTTATCATGTACAAATGCCATAACCTTCTTCAGCTGACTATCAATTCCAACCACATTCTCCGGAAGAACTAACTCAAACTCTTTCAGCTCGCCCAACACTCTGTGGACAATCAAATTCACTAATTGTCCTTCATATCTGTCCAATGTGACAAGAGTTCAAATACATTGCAACAATAATTTTATATTGTTTATCTAATGAGAACATAATTATAAATAAATTTGGGTATAAGTCGAAAAACTTTAAGAATTGTTTTTTTGTCACAGCCCCATATATTATCTTATATGCTAGGACTAAAGTTGGAAATGTTGGTGGTTGCTTTGCATGGCGTGCCCCATTCCATTATTACTCTGACATAATTTAGAGCCAGAAGAAACTTGAGGATTATCACTAATGAATCTTAAATATCATATAAATTATCATTATGAATCAAATTTTAAACTTCTTGTTTCTGAAAGATTTTAGGGATGCCGTGGACATGACTTTGAGAACTTTCTAGAGCATTTGAATAAGCAAAAATCCATTAAGCCAACTCGCTACGGGAGTTCAGTCATTCACCATAACTTTTGATTTAGGAGGAATTATAGGTCCAATGATATCAATGCATAAAGTCATTGAGAGTGCTATACTGTGAACTACCTAAATACAATTAAGGGGATTTCCCCTCATTTGTGCAATTCTACATGTATGCAAGTTTCTTCTCTTGTTGTGAATATAGGATTGATCTAGATTCTCATTCTTATCAGTTATTCGTGGCGTCAAGGGATTATAACATGTTCTACTTTATTTCCTTTCGAGTATCTATATTCTACAATCTTAACTAATCTAATATTGATTCTATTGGGAAGTAGAAAAATAATTTTTCCCCACAATAAGAATATTGCTTCAAGTTACGCAGGTGTATGAGATACAAATTATGTGTTGAGGACAGGAAAATGCATTGAAATTTATCTAAACAAACATATTATTAAGATAACTCCTTTCCTCTTTTATATTTGCCATCATCATATATAACCAATGAAATATTTCTTTTGTAAAATAATTTTAATAGCAACTAGTTAGCGAAATAAGTTACATAATAATTGTAATTTGGGAAGATTTAGGATTATGGCTTTGACAATCAACATGCACGGTACTTGATGTTATGAGCTTTAAATAGGAACCACCAATAAGTTGTACCGTTAATCTCAAATAAATTTGTAATTAGAAAACTTTGTGATGAAGATTAATGTAGCTTATACTATAAACATGAAAAAAAAATGGCAGTGTTACAAATCTTTGGATATAAAAGTAAAAATTCATCCTAAAAATTTTATATTACTCAAGCGAATATGATCATAACAATAAAATCTAGAAGTAGAGTGGTCAAAATCATTTAAGTAAAAAACCAATAGAACTCTATGCATTGCAAGATCTTAGTGCTAGCAAGATCTCACTGCTTTTTCGTATAAAAAAAGAACAAAAAGAAAGAAGATGAAGCAGGTGGAAATCAGAACAACCTAATAAACACCCACACAGATTAAAAGAAAGTAGAGAATGTTATGGTGAAAAGACGAATTACCCTTTGGCTTCCCATCCTTTCAAGAAACTAACTTCCATGAGTGCTTGTTTCCATCCCCGCAAAATCACTGGGTCGATAGACCTCTCACTCGGATGAAAAGCTTCTCCAACACTCCCGATTTGAGATCGCACATCAGCTGGTTTCACTTTGTAGAATACAGGCAGCACTACCTGCCCCATGTAATAATTCTTGCGCTCCATTATTTGAACCAGTTCATCTAGACACCATTTGCTCGAACCATAATTCGTAGAAAGAATCGGGATCAAGATCTTACTGTTCTTGATGGCTGCCAAAAGATCTGGGCCTTGGCGGATGTCGTTGTCGTCTCTAAAAGCACGAATTCCAGCATCGATAAGCCTGTTGTAGAGGTGCTCGATGAAACCTTCTTCAATATCTGTGCCTTGAAAGCTCAAGAACACGTCGTAGCGGTCTCCAGTCGGCGAAATTGATGAACTAGATGCACCATTATTAGTTTCTGTTGGTTCGGTCGACGAACTAGATGCAACGGAAGTAGTTTTTGTTGGCGCAATTGATGGACGAGATGCGCCGATATTAGCATCTTCTGCATTTCTACGAACGCTAATTTTCTTCTTGTTGAGATAATAGAACGCGAGCACGGAGATTAGGATCGGAGCCACGAACACGGCGAAAGAATGTCCAAAAGTGGGACGACGCATTTCTTCTTTGCTCAGACTCTGCCCTTAATTTTCCCTTTCAAATCTGGTGGAGAAGAAAACCAAAGTGCCTAATTTATAAATACAAAGGCCTTGTTCTTTCTCCCGAAGAGAATATGCTATATTCGACCAACAAAAGAAAAGAGAATATGCCATAAATAAAGTTCTTTTTCCAACTAAAATAATTCAAATAACACTCTCTTTTCTTTTCTATTTTCTTTTTTTCTTTTTTGGTCTATGACCTTCCGGTATACAGGTAACCCAACTAATCCGGAAGCGAGCACTGTCGGACCCACAAGGGAGTGGCTCTCCCAGCGCCGTTTGCTCCATACACAAGGCTCGAACTCGAGACCTTGCACTCTCTTTTCTTTTAGAATGCATTTTTGTACACACGTATGCATTTGTTTTGCTAGTAAATAGATAACTGATTCCTCAATTATATATTAGGACATGGACCACATCGCTCAGTCAGTGCATCCAGACAAGAAACAATAGATTATAACTTTACGTACCGTGGGACCATTTTTTTTTCTTTTTCTTTTTTGTAATTGACTCAAAAGTAGTAAGAACGTGCCGGCACGTCATTCACTTTTATTTTTTCATGCCACAAAAGTTGACTGTGCGTTGGGAGGTGGCCACCTACCATTCGGGTATGGCGGTATTGACTAGAGGATGAAGATGAAGCTGAGGGTGTTTATGGTAAAGAGCAAGTGACCGAGAAACAATCTGAAACGTGGCCCACAGGACACGTGGCGAACGATGAGCGAGGGAATCGTCGCTGCCGTGACAGCCGGGACTGCTCAATATTTTCTCTCATGGTGGTGGCCACCGTACCCCTTTCAATGCATTAATGCTTGGAATTTTTAACTTTCCTTTTTTATTTAATTTCTTTTCCAGGTAGACTTCTCTCACTCCACGACAACTCCTTCCAGTTCCTTCCTCGACCTCTGCAGATTCCTTCCTCGCTCCAAATCCCTTGATCCCTTCTTAGTTCTTCCTTGTTCAAAGTCAAAGGCCACATCTTTGAATACCAAAGTTCTGTCAAGACTCAACCTTTAATTAGCTTCTGAAACACCCAATTTCACCTTCCTTTTGAATCAGATTCCTTTTGTTTCTGACTATGAATGGGTAGTTAGTAGCAAGCTCTCATTCACAACTTCCACGACAGTTTCTTCTGTTCTTCTGTCCATCTTCAATGATATTGGTGCATATAGTGGCAAAAAACGAAAAAACTATGCCCTCCATCTCTGTCCTTTAAAGAACAGTTTTACCCTATCCTATTCATTAAAGAAAATAGTATCAGTCAAAGGTATACTCAATATTTCTGGGAAGGACATCAAATTCGAGTTTTTGACTTTATGTTAGTATATATAGATAACACTTAGGATTTCAATAGAACTTTAATCCACAGAAATTCCAGAATTCTAATTCCTCATAATTTGCAAAAGCTAATTCCTTCTTGTGGATTACTATGATTCCGAAAAGTACTTTTATGTAGAATATATTAAGTTTATGTTCATATTTTGAGATCAATAATTTCGAATGTACTTCTATTGTATTTTAGAGGATGAGCAGCAATAGTAAAGATTTTCGTGCGAGGGTAGTCTCGTCTCTTAAAAAAGAAACTGTGCTAATCTTGTGTGTGAAAATAGCAGTTCTCCTAGTATCAAGGAAAGTGGGTGGGTCTTTTTCTTTGGGGCCACCAAAAAAAAAAGTCGTGCAGTGTTGATTAGAAGAGCTCTCATTATCTCAGTATGTCAATTTTTTCTTTATTGATTCGATTTGTCTAATCGAATCACTTGACGGCCAGAATCGTATCAATAATTCAAATTTGTCAAGCAAGATTGATAATTCATTGACGGAAAACAGTGACCACGCGCTTATAGTCGTTACCTTCATGTGGTGGAGATTTCAATGCACAAAAGAATCCAAGGCAATCCCTGCCAAGGAAGAAGACGATATCTGAGGAAATTTCCATGCAGAAGCAATGGAAAGAAATAAAACCAAACAGAAGAAACGAGTGCTGTCATATCATACGTCAGACATGTGGCCAGAATAGATTAATACTAACAAGCGTAAAGGACCGTGATGACGGCAACATTTTAGTCTAACACCTTCCAAGACGGTAAAATCCAGTACAACTAGAAAAAGCTCCTCCCTCTCTTCCCTCGCGGCCATCAACATTGTCAGCAAAATCTCCGCTGCTCAGTCCCTGTATATATTGGTCTCCCCCCCTCAATCCCAGCAGAAGGCAGCAGATAGAGAAGGCACTAGACGCCAAAATGAACATGCGATGAAACCAAGCCCATCTCTGGCCTGATCACACCCACGATCATCTCCTGAAACGTTTAGTCTAGAGGCTGCAACGTTTACATGTTAATACACAACCGAAAGTTCATATTCTCCATGAGAAAAGTTAAAAGTCCAGGACAATTTTAATAGCAAGTGCAAAGTTTAAGATTCCGTAGAACATTAGGCTAATATAATTTGGAAAATTCACTTTTTCCAAAAAGAATTTGTTAAAAGAAAATGAGAATTGTCTAGATTTTCACACTTTTAAGGTATCTATTTTCATAGATTTATTTATTCACTTGCGAAATGTTAAATTATGATTTGGTCATGTCACTTAATATATCAATTTTAAAAGTAGAAACATGGAGCGATACTGAGTGTGAAAGTGATGAGGAATATGCCAATGTTTGCTTAATGGCATTATCAGACTCAGACTTAGATTCTGACTCAGACTCAAAAATTGAAGTGGATATTAAGGTAAAGTATCCAGAAATTCCTATTGAAGTATCAAATTATATCGATGAATTATGTTCTAAATTTAAATCTGCTCTTAAGAGGATTTCCGAATTGAAAAAGGAAAATTCAATGCTGAGGCAACATGATGTTTCTCAAAAGGATTTTATTGATTTCTTACAAAAGGAATTTCATCAAATCAAAGAAAATCGAGATTTACTTGCCGAAGAAAATACTATTTTGAAAAAGGAATTTTTGGATATTACTTCAAAATTTTCAAATGGTTCAAAAACTTTGGAACATATACTTTCCATATAAGGTCTTTACTATAACAAGTTAGGATTTGGTTTACTAAGGAAAGTGATCTTTTAATTGATTTTCCAAAAGTCAATGAGAGACTTAAACAGAGACCTCATAGACATGCTTATAGAAATCATTTTCAAAAGAATTTTGTAAAACCTGTTGGCCGAAATGCCCTCAAGTGCTCAAATTGTGGCGATCCAAAGTACTTTGAGAATGAACGTCCTAAAGTCTAGAGACCAATTCGGAGAAACTGGATAATAACAGCTTATTTTACTAACTCATAAGGACCCAAATTCATTTGGGTACTAGAGAAAGATGAGATTACTTTTCTTACAGGGAATAAAGAAAAGAAAAACTAGTAAGGAAAGGTATGTCTTTAAATTCTCATTATACTTGATATATTTTCTCCTTTTTGTGCTTTACTCAAATTTTATATGACGTGCTCCATTTTTTTTTTAAAATTGATTACGCCGTAATATCATTTTTGGAGTTACAGTTTTATACAAATTTATGAGTTGTGAAATGAACTTTTGTTTAGAGATAATTCGGTTGATTGGATAACTCCCAATATTATTATATGCTCTTTGATCTTGTCTTGCCTTACAAAGAAGGAATGTTTTTTTTATGAGATATTGTTTTGTTATGCATGGTATATTTCTCTCAAATGCTCTACTGAGATGTGTTGGGAAGGTATCCTTCGGCTTCTATGAAAGTTTCCTATTTTGCACCTAACAAAAGAAAAGGATCCAAATACATGGCTACCAAAAAGGAAATGAGTATATTGCAGGCAATTATACAAAGGAAGCGTGATTAAAGAAGGATCTCAAGTGATGAATTCTTTCTAAAAAGGAAAGATATCTTATAATTGACAATTTTGATCCGCAAATTAGAGGAAGGTATGTACATGATATTATTTATATTTTGCAAAGATTATTGTCTCCTCTACAAGAAATTGCAGGTTGTAAAGGAATCTTTCCATATGAAGTTTGGAAAGCTTGATCCAAAAAATGTGGAGATTCTGCAATATTTTCGAAGGATTGAAAATTTCTTCTTTGTGCAAAATTCTCACAAATTCTCGAAGGTATCTCAAAATATTCTAAGCAAACCCTTAATGCGTTGTACGAAAGGATAAGTAACTTTGGGTTGAAATATTTGATATTCTATTCAATTTATTTATTCGAAAGAAGGGCATTGCATATTATGTGAGATATTATATCTTTAACCGTAAATTTGTACAAAAAGTTTGTTGAGTTTATGCAGATTAAATTCGAGACAAGCTTGAATGAAGAAAACAAATTTCTCTCTCAAATTTATTGTAAACGAATGTGGTGAATGTTGCTGCTACAAAGAAAAGAGCGGAACAACATTCTGTTCAACGTGCACAAGCCACAATGAAAGTTATTTGCAAAAGCTGTCTTGAGGACAAGGGGAGAAAAACAAAAAGATGAAAATCGAAAAGTGGAAAAATGCAAAAGAAAGGGGGAGAATCATTATCATCTCAAAATGACATCAAATTGAGAGGGAGCATAGATCAAGTATGGGAAAACCTTGATAAAATTGATTTAATTTCTATCCATTCTTGATTACTATGGAAGAAAGGTAATGTATGTTAGAACTTGCTAAGTTTTACATAATCCGGGTTAGTATTTCTTATATTTTCTTTACTTTTTGTCATTAACAAATCTCGTATTATATTATCGTTTTATTATCACAAAAAGGTTGTGAAATTTATTATGTACATCCGTGATCATTGATATTTATATTTGCTGATGTATATGATAGTTGTTTCTACAAATCGTGAGCTATTGAATATATGTTATGTTCGCGAAAGATGATGTTTCTGAAGGTTGTGTTTCATGCCAAATATGTTTTGAAGATAGTATGTGAAGATGAGTTCAATTTATATGCTCTACGTGATACCCTTTCCATTATTATTGCTTTTTGATTATGACAAAAAAGGGGAGAGAATGTAAATATGCATATGTGCTTATTGGTTAATTATATTTACTTGATGCATAATATTGAGCTGTGATTATACTTCCATATATTGATATGATCATTATGGAATCTATGGATTTTTATGCATGTATCTTTTTATGATGCTGACAAAAAGGGGGAGAAATATGTAGATACGATATGTTTTGATATGTAGGTTTTTGAATATAGGTCATTATTCATAATGGTTCAGATTTTGCAAAGTTCAGATTTTGCACTCATACGATAAGATGCAAATCATATCCTGTGCCTTATCTTATTAAAAAACAGAGTATAAAAATCTCATATCAAATTACTCTGATCCTATAGAATATCTTGAATATCTGGTCAAATATATGTTTGATCTTATGACTCA